TACAATGGAGAGTATGGCGACCATTCACGTTATAGGCTGCAGGGCAGCCCAGGGGGGTGGTGGGGTGGGGGGGACATAAAAAGCTGCTCACTCATCAACTAATCACTCAACAAATCACAAATGAGATTTTGAGCTATACAAAAACTCAGAAATACTGAGGCCTCATAAATTCATTCTGGGGCGCCAAATCTTAAACTTTGATTCGTATCGGAGGCAAATTGATCTCAACTCAAAGTAAGCAAAATCCTACAGCTCATTGATTCCCAAATTTTTCACAGGGAGGCGCCGGTTTAAGGCACCGGTCCGAAAGGGCGTGAGTTCGAATCTCACCGCTGTCACTTTTTTTTTCCTTTTCATCATATTATCGATCCAATCTCTTTTCTCTTTCGGTCATGGATAGTGGCACGAGTCTTTTTCAGAAAGGAGATTTTCTTACTATCCTGCACTGTATTTTATCCAATTACACATTTATGTATTTTGAGAAGAGTTACTTTATTTCACAATAGAACAACGTCATATATATACTTTTTTTTGTTTTAACCATAACTCAGTAGAGAAATGGCTTTTCAGCAAGCGGTTTTCACCAAAAGGTTGCCCGTTTCTACGAGTATATTTGTCGGAAAAAGAAATTTAAAATATTGGGTTATTCGTGTCTGTAGGTCGAGATCAATGTTCGGGATTGTTTCGAAGAGCTGCAAAAAGTTTCCGTACGACTAATGTAATTGTTTTTTTGACCGGCCAAGGAAGTTTTAAGCCATGAAAACTATACCAGCAGAAGCCGGCGAGGATAACGTTCATTTTGGTAAAAAACGTTTTTTGTGTATAGCAGTACATTTATGTGGAGTGTGTTAGAGTCATTAAAATTTTTGTAGTTTAGCATTGTATCATATCTGTTCTCATTTTTCTCATATCTAATTGTTTGTCATTATGAACGGAAGTGAAGAAAGAAAGTAAAAGATAAGATAAGATAAGATAAGAGTACAAGGAGAAGAAAATGGAAGATATGCCTTGTGGTAGTAGTTGACAACCAGTTTGAAGCCTTGAATCGAATCAGTGCGAAAAACTGCCTATATAATATTAATTTGGTATAAATCCATTCTATTTTCCAGCTGTATCATCTTGTCCGATCTAGTAGAATATGCCCTCAAATTGAAATTGTTATAACTCGGGGACATTAGAAAATAGATTAGGATTTTGACTGATTCATATACTTTTCCATGCGTAACAGCGTGACGTTCCCGTAAATGGCGTTTCAATTAAAAAAAAACGTCAAAAATCGAAAAATTCGTGTTTTCGTCTTCCAGAAATGCTGTGTAGACTCTACGAAGGCTACCGAAAACGTACAAACCACATTTTTAGATGGTTCTCGGTGTGCTGAATCCGTGGTGCGTCTCAGATTTGAGTTCTGAGTGGATCTCCCTGTCGAAAAACTAATCTGTTTCCATTCTTGTATCCTCCATTGTTCAATTGGATGATAGGCATGATTCACAAATACATGATTATTTGTTTTTCTACATGCGATAGAACAGAATACATCATTCTAATCGAACACCCTTATTTGATTGATACCTTTTAAATACATTTGTGTCTCATGTTCTACCAAAAGAAAAACTGATTTCTATTTTTTTAAAAATGTTTACACTAAGTTATCCGTAGTACGAAGATTTAAAATATTCACAGCGCAATGTAACAAAATCAAAAATTATAATTGAAAACTTTTACCTGAATAGATCACCCTACATGAGACTGTTTTCAGTCTATATAAACGTGAAACTCGACTTGAATAATTGTATTTAGCTAATTCTACAACCGCGTTGTAGTTACTAGAAACTTAGCGGCTTGTCCAAGCGTTACGCAGTAACATTTCGGACACAATAATGCACAGTTTTTTTGAGAAGTTTAAGAGCTAGAGAGTTGGTTCTTGAGCTATTTCATGCAGTACCATTTCCTCTACGTATGCTGAAAAAAATGAAAAAATTTGAGACGAATTCTATAACGCGTGACGCTGTAACAAAAAAAGACCCATAGTGTCTTAGAGTGCCAATTTTGAGTGAGACCAGAGTTGTAGAGCGATTTTCAATTTTTTAAAAGAAAGTGTCTAAGTGAGGAAATTGAAAATAAACATTTTAAAAAATTTCAATTTCAACTTTTTAAATGAACACTCCACTTTTTTCGGAAAAAAATATCAGATTCGTAATCAGCGTGCAAAACTGCGTCTAGTGATGTGCCTCTACTGATGTATCGAGTAAAAAACATGAAAAACAAACTTGATCAGAGAAGTAGCGTGTTACGTGGACACGCCGTTAGACAGAATGCATTTCTGAAAGAGTCACGAAGATACCACGTCTTGATTCTTCCGCACGATGATACACTTACGAAGTGGCTGTAAAAGTAACTAAAGATTGTTCTGAACTTTTTAAATGAACTTTTGAAGCTTGTATTTGATAATTAGATCATTGTGGGTATCAGAAAACAACGACGATGATTTGGTCTATAGACTAAAGTTAAAGAGAAAAATATTAAACGACTAATATTAAAAATCAATTAAAAATTTTTCTTGTTTGAAGATAGAAAAATATTTAATTGATTTTTAATATTAGTCGTTTAATATTTTTCTCTTTAACATTTTGCCGTATATTTGACGATTTCAAAGGACTGTATCAATTATACAAGAGTACAATTCTTTGTACTTTTTCGTTTGTCTCTAAGAGACTGGCAGAATTTTGGTTATTTTGTATATTCGAAAGCACTTCAACGATAAGAAAAGCATAATTCAAATTTTTACCTACGAACTTACTTTTTTACAGAAGAACAAATATATTATTTTTCTTTCGTCATTCGATCGTTCTATGAATATTTGTATTTCTTGTAAAAAAGAAGAAAATGATGTAGCGTGCAGCGTACATTGAAAAAAGGAAATATGGCCTTGAAACCTGCTGATACACATCAACGTTTTACAGATGTTCAGTATGAACCAAATAAACTACTTTTACCAGTGAGTGGATACCAAAATACACCATTAGTCTCACTTGAACAAGCAATTGAACCTGTAAAAGATTTAATTGATGAAGACGTTAGTACAAAGGTCTACATTGCTAAACGTAATTGCAAAACACCCAAAGATGGTCTAACACAGGATGAAAGTGCCAGTATACAACTGTATACAATGGAATGTGACGAACATGAACAAAGTTTGTATTATGTACTAAACAAAACACTTCGAATGGAGGACAGAAAGAAGCTGACAGTATGGTTTTACTATTTGAAATTGTTATTAACAGCATTATGGAAATTACCATGTGAAAAGAAGATCATATATCGTGGTGTTAATGGAAATTCAAGTGAGAATTTTAATTTTGGTGATGATGTCGCTTGGTGGGGTTTTAGTTCATGTACAGAATCATTGAACGTACTAGAAGCAGAAGAATTTTTGGGTAAGAGTGGTGTCAGAACACTATTTAACATTGAGTGTTGCAATGGGAAAGTGATTCGTAATCATTCGTTTTACAAAGCAGAGGATGAAGTTTTACTAATGCCCGCTACACAGATGGTCGTGGTAGGAAAAGTTTCGCCAGCACCAGGTCTCTACATTATTCAAATGAGAGAACTGGAAAACCCAACTGTAATTCTTCTGAAACCACCATTTTCTAAAGAAACAGGCACACCCATTCATAAAAGTTTTCAACCGAAGTTGAGTGTGACGGAGCCAAAAGCGCAAGCAGCATCTGACGCAGAAAAAGCTAAAAAAGACAGAACAGATGACAAACAAACATCAACACACTATAAGCCGAAACAAGAAGATGCCGTTATAGTGGAAACAAAAGAAATATCAAAACAAGCAAAAGAACTTGTAACAAAGTTAAAATTAAATATGACAGGCCCGTATCTCTATTTAAATCACTTTGAAAATTTATCGATCAAAGATGCGCAGGCTATTGCAGACGGTATTAGAGTAACTACAAGCGCTCAACACATGTATTGGATGAAACCAAACAAATTGTCACGTGAAAGTATGGTATGTGTACTTGAAGCATTAAAAATAAATCATTCGATTGTTTCACTAACGATGAGCGGAGGTGAAATACCTGACTGGTTAGAGATCATATTAGAAATTTTACTAGTGAATAAAACGTTAAAGCATCTAAGCATTATAGAAGGAGCAATAAAAAATGATAATCAGGTGAAACTAATAGCTAATGCGTTGAAAGAAAAGAAAATATTAACTAACCTAGATCTAGAAAAAAATCAAATCTCGGACGAAGGAATTGGTTATCTTAGCGAACTGTTAAACGTAAACAAAAGATTAAAAGTAGTGCTCTGACGTAAGTGAGAACACCAGAGTGGATAAAAAGCCTTGATAAAACTGGACATGTAATCACCATTTTATCGAAATTAAGTGAAGGTGGCAACGCACTATGAAAGAAAAAGATTAAATTCACTCAAAATAGATTTTCACAATCACTCTTTTCGTTAGTAGGATGTAGTAGTGAGGTGTATGAATATTTTCTCTTCTACATCTCTTATATATATTTTGCACGTTTGGCCGGTATATAACTTTATTAACTTCCAAAAAGAAAATGGTGAACTGTTACTTCGTTGAACAAAAACCAATTCGAGAGTTCAAATTGATTTTTTATTCTTTTTTTCTATGATTTACCTTTTCTTATTTGTTTTTATGTAATAACCAAGAAGTATTTCTATACTAAAATCTGTGTTTGTGCTTTATTTTTCGCGCATCTGAAAAACAAAATTGTAGAGATACTCTACTTATTGGTAACTCCGTTCATAAACATGTTTCAAATGGACGTAAAAAAGCAACAAATAGCATATTAACAAAGAGAATCTGGACTTTTGTCATCACATACGATTCAAGGATAGAAGGAGGAAAAAGTTTCATTGTACCAAAGATTTTTGAAGTGAAGCAGAATTAAAAACTTTATTTTATTTTTCTATCATTATTCAAACCGCAAAAAGCAAAAGCAGGAGATGATGTTACAAGTTCGTTCTTGAAAGAAATAGACTCTGTACCAAATATGAAGCTTTACAATTTTATCCAATTACACATTTATGTATTTTGAGAAGAGTTACTTTATTTCACAATAGAACAACGTCATATATATACTTTTTTTTGTTTTAACCATAACTCAGTAGAGAAATGGCTTTTCAGCAAGCGGTTTTCACCAAAAGGTTGCCCGTTTCTACGAGTATATTTGTCGGAAAAAGAAATTTAAAATATTGGGTTATTCGTGTCTGTAGGTCGAGATCAATGTTCGGGATTGTTTCGAAGAGCTGCAAAAAGTTTCCGTACGACTAATGTAATTGTTTTTTTGACCGGCCAAGGAAGTTTTAAGCCATGAAAACTATACCAGCAGAAGCCGGCGAAGATAACGATCATTTTGGTAAAAAAAGTTTTTGGTGGAAAAGCTTTCTCGGGGTCAGCAGAGCGATTTTAAGGTAAAGTTGACATGATTAACATGGAAACTCTGCACCTCAGTAATGAATGGATGAAATTTCTTTTTAGACATACCATTGGAAAGAGCATCGGAAACTGCGTAAGAAAACGGATGATTTAAAATTTCACGAAAAGAAATGCGCGAACAGTGGCGCCAAAAGTGATTTGAATAAAGAGATACTTTGCCACCCGTACATTCAATCAATAAGCTATATTCATACAGCTATTCCAATAAACCAGTTAGTTTCTGGAAAAAAGCAATTTAGTCTGATGACTGGAAATTTACTATCTTCAACTCTTGTGGAAAACGAATGATCTGGAGAAAGCCGGACGAAGATTCTATTACTAATTGTATTCTACCAACACTTCAGCATGGTGGTGGAAATCGGAAAGTTTCGGGCTAAATGGGCCGTTTTGAAAATCACTCTTAGCTGATTGTGATATATCCATGCTCGGAGCTGATTGTCGGAGTCCTCTCCGACAACAGACTAAAAAATGAAAATCACTTTTGGGTGATTTTTGTGTATCCGTTGTCCGACCTG